GCCCCATGCCTAATTTTGACTTGACTTTCATAGCACCAGATACAGCCAAAGCAGCTGTTTTTTCACCTATACTAGCGTCGCCTGTAAAAACACGTTGTAATGCCTCTTTAGCTAGTATCCTATCAGCAACTTTTTTTGCTTCAATGTTATCTGGATTTTTTGGATATGAAATATCGTGCTCCTTACAAGCAGAATCCAAAGGATTCACACCAGGATCACCTCGGGCAAGACGTTTTGCTAATTTTGTACCTGGTCCACAGTATTGATAACCAGGCAGATGTAATTCAAATGGTAATTTGTTGATCAGACTATTCACTAGACCTTTACCGCTAATTTTGCGATGTACAGTCATACTTGCGATGTACAATCATACTTGCGTCTGTAAAGGTTGGAATTGAAATGAATGGAAGGTTATAAAAGAGGTGTATTTATACCTTTTGCCACAGTCTGAACTATGATGCGATTCAATGAACAACCTCATAAGCTACCAGTCGTAAATCTTGACTCGATTGTTCAACAACAGGAGAAGAAAGTGAAACGTCATGGTAGTTTATTGTCAGGCAATATTCGTGTAATATTCTGTGGTCCATCAAATTGTGGGAAAACAAATGTACTTTTGTCTTTAATATTACATCCTAATGGTCTCAGATTTGATAATATTTATCTTTATTCAAAATCTTTGCAACAACCAAAGTATAAATTTTTGGAACAAGTTGTAAGTGAAGTTGAGTATTTACCATTCAGTGAACATGAAGAAGTAATTTCTCCTCAAAATGTAAAACCAATCTCTATATTTATATTTAATGATGTGGCATGTGAAAAACAAGATAATATTAGAGCATTTTTTTGTATGGGTAGACATGTAAGCGTTGATAGTTTCTATTTATGTCAAACATATGCAAGAATTCCAAAACATTTAGTACAAGATAATGTGAACTTGTTAGGTCTTTTTCGTCAAGATGAAAAGAATTTAAAACATGTTTATGATGATCATGTGAATACGGATATGACATTTTCTCAATTTCGTGAATTATGTTCAGCTTGTTGGAATTCTGACAAGTATGGATTTGTTGTAATTGATAAAGATAGTAATTTAAATGAGGGAAGATATAGAAAAGGTTTTGACTGTTTTATTTCACTATAAATAAAGATAATTTTTGAATTTGTTTTAGTTTAAATTGAGACCTTGATATATCAAGATGTATAATAAAGAGAAAGAATATTTACATCAAATTGCTAAAGCTAGTGAGGCAATTAGACGTAAACATCGTTTATTTAAATTAGGAAAAGAAAATCCTGAAAATTTGTTGAACGAAACCTTCAAACCTATAGTTGAACCTTTACAAAAAATTATTACCATAAATGACATTAAGCGTGAAAATTTTAAAACGGAAAGGATAGAAAAGGAGGAAAAAGGTGAAAGTAAAGAGGAAGATGATAATTTGAGTTTTAAGAGTATTGAAGATAGTGAATCAACAATAATCCCAGACTTTGAGTATGATAAACTGCTAAATAAGTATATTTACTTGATAGATCACAACAGAAAACAGTGTTTGGATCTAGTATATGGAGTACGTAAGATGCGAGATGGATCACTTCTGATTGGTGATAAACCAATAATTTTTAATCAACAGTTTTTGAATGTTGGAAATAGACGTTTTACCATTACCCCTGGATTATTGGAACTTTTATTTAAAAATAAACCGGAAAATTCACACATTAGTGATCATGATATAAATAATTATAAGCAAATTCTCATCGACTCCAATGCACATAGAAAAAAATACAGTGCTTCTGAACCTATTAATATAAGTAAAAGTTTTAAATACACTAATGTTATTTCAAATCTATTTCCTCAATCTGTAAATTATATATTAGAAGTTGTTTTATCAACTACATATCAGTTTCAAAATGAGCATTGATGTATTCGGACATCCCCTCAATAGAGGAGGAACTGTAGCAGCAAAACGAGGACCACCTGGAGTTGGTTTTAAAGTAGATTAAGAAGACAATAATGACTGTGGAGGGAAAAGAATTTGTTACCTTGCAAAAGCTAAAGCAGAGGGCGACGCAGTTAATTTATTACTTACTCAACGTATGATAGAGAACGCAGTGCGACTAGTATATCAAGTCACGTCTTCATTAAGGTTAGACATTTACAACAGTAATGTATTGTTAAAAATTCTTGAAGCTTCGGTAACAGATAAACTACAAAATCTTGAAAAACAAATAAATGAAAATTTTCAAGACATTTCTAACAGTAATGTGTTATTTAAAACTCTTTCTTCTATAGGAGAAAAATTAAAAAATCTTGAAAGACAAATTAATCAAGATTTATCATATAGAAAAGCTGAAATTATTGGCGAACTAGATACTCGTATGAGAGTTCTTAAAAATGAAACGAAAACTCTTGAAATACAAACAAAGAAAAATTTATTGGAGACTGACAACGGTAATGTGTTGTTAAAAACTCTTGAAGGCTCCGTGTCCGAAAAATTAAACAATCTTGAAAAACAAATAAATCAAGATTTATCATATAAAAATGCTGAAATTATTGGTCAACTGGACAGTCGTTTGAGAGCTCTTGAAAATGAATGACAAAAAATTGACAGTAGTAAATGAACTTCACACACAAGCTCGAAAAAATTATCCTCGACGTCAAGTTGAAATGCGTGACATTGATGATACTTGGCAAGCAGATTTGGTTGAAATGATACCATATTCCAAAGTTAATAAAGGATTCAAGTACTTACTTACAGTTATAGATATATTTTCCAAGTACGCTTGGGCTGTTCCTGTAAAGAATAAAACTGGAAAAGATGTGACTGATGCAATGAAATCTATATTTGCAAAAGGATGTAATCCAAAAAAAATTTCATTGTGATAAGGGAAAAGAATTTTATAATTCACAATTTGAGGCTTTAATGGAATTGAGAAAAATTAATTTTTATTCCACCTATAGTAACCTAAAAGCATCCATCATGGAACGTTTTAACCGAACACTCAAAAGGAAAATGTGGATTCAGTTTAGTTTCAGAGGAAATTACAAGTGGTGTGATATATTACCTAATCTCATTTCCAAGTATAATGATACAAAACATCGCACAATTGGAATGAAACCCAAAGATGTAACTGGAGATCATGTTGAAACTTTGAAAGAGCGATTCTTCAAACTCAGAAAAATACCTTTCAGAAAATCAAAATTTAAAATTGGAGACAGAGTTCGAGTTAGCAAGTATAAAAATATGTTTGAGAAGGGTTACACACCGAATTGGACAACTGAAATATTTACTATTGATAAAGTTAAACAAACTCGACCTGTGACTTACATGCTAAAGGACTACCAAGATCAATAAATTAGCGGAGGATTCTATGAAGACGAACTTCTTAAAGTGAAATATTCCGATGTATATCTTGTTGAAAAAGTTCTCAAGAGGCGTGGAAATAAAATTTTTGTCAAGTGTTAAGGCTTCGATAGTACTCATAATAGTTGGATATATAAAAACAGACTAATGTTAAAACAAAAAAAAGAATCATTAATGAATCATTAATGAATCAACAATGAATCATTAATGAATCATTAATGAATCATTAATGAATCAATAATGAATCATTAATGAATCAATAATGAATCATTAATGAATCATTAATGAAGAAATAATGAATAAACAATGAATCATTAATAAATCAATAATGAATCATTAATTAAAGAATTATTAATTATTAATGAATCAATAATGAATCAATAATGAATCAACAATGAATCATTAATGAATCAACAATGAATCAATAATGAATCAACAATGAATCATTAATGAATCAACAATGTATCAATAATGAATCAATAATGAATCAACAATGAATCATTAATGAATCAACAATGAATCAATAATGAATCATTAATAAATCAATAATGAATCAATAATGAATCAATAATGAATCAATAATGAATCAATAATGAATCAATAATGAATCAATAATGAATCAATAATGAATCAATAATGAATCAATAATGAATCAATAATGAATCAATAATGAATCAATAATGAATCAATAATGAATCAATAATGAATCAATAATGAATCAATAATTAATCAATAATTAATCAATAATGAATCAATAATGAATCAATAATGAATCAATAATGAATCAATAATGAATCAATAATGAATCAATAATGAATCAACAATGAATCAATAATGAATCAACAATGAATCATTAATGAATGTACAATGAATCATTAATGTATCAACAATGAAATAATATTAACTAACTGTTAAAAACTAATTTAAGCTTCGATATGTATTAATTACTATAAATAATTTTTTAAATTGTAATATTTTGTTAGGAATTAATGAATAAAATGAAATGTATCTGGTAAAACTGTCCATTTATTTAGTAACAATTTTTATATTTACAAATTTTCACACATATATGTTACGGTAAAAGTACGATATTGGTAAATGTGCACAATTACCGGTAAATGTGCACATTTACCAATCTGGCTGGTATCTAGCTGGTAAAAGTGATTAATCTCAAAAAATTAAGTACATTTACCAAGAAAGTTGGTAAATGTGCACATTGACCAGCGCGAGTTGGGAAATGTAGATAGTTTGTTTTTATTTAGCTCAGATGTATAACGACAGAAGGTGGTGAGCCAAGTGAAAGACTTATTAAAAGTAGTGAAACGTTTTTTAATGTAATTGATATTATTATTGTGGACATATTTACAAAATTCTTTATTCGTTACTAATTGTTTTCTATTATTTATTTGAACAAGGACCACTCCCATGACACTTCGAATTACACGACAGATTGTCTGCTTTGCAACTGCATTTCCTTGTATCGCATTGCCCTTTGCAATAACATCTCCTGTATCCCTGTCCGCCAGTCAATGATTGCAAATTCACGGTTTCGCGCAAAGACATTTCCACATCAGGAACTTTGGTAGGAGACATAAATTTTTGCTTACAAACAGTAAACTGATTTCTGGAGTACAATTATTTCAAGCGCCCTTCTTTGGTCCCTAGCACATACATATCATCATCTATTGATAAGACGGTGGCGAGTACATTCTTAGGATCTGTCCTACTTCTGTCCACATAAGGAATTGGCACTTTAACACTATCTCCATTTGCAGCAGGTGGAAACTTTTTTATTGATAATTTTAACATTTTATTAGCTTGCAGTTGAAGTCCTGTGTGTGCCAATGCCCTTTTTTGCCGTATTCGACGTTTGTTAGATGCAATTGAATCATTTGATACCGGAAAATTTTCTGTATCCTGGAAGAATACTTCTTATTAGGTATGCATAATACAAAAGTAATCGACATCTAATATACAAAAAACTTTTATTAAGTAAAAGACAATTTTTTTTATTTTTCTATTTTTATTCTTGATTTTATTTATTTCTGTATCACATAATTATTATTATTATTATTATTATTTACCTTCAATGAATTTAATTTGTCTTTTTCGTTGCCATGTTCCATACTAATTTCTTGAAGGTCACCGTCTCTCACTTCCTGCAGTGCGCCGTTTTCCGTTACAATGTAATTAGTTACTTCATCCAAATTGTCGTCATGTGGTTCATTAGTTTCAGCAACAGTTTCCTCAGAATGAGATGAAATTATTGCTTCGTCATCAGCGTGCAACGTAGCTTCATTAAAAACATTTTCCAATTCTTCTTCGGACTGAAGTTTCTCGACGACTTCATTAGGAAAGTTAGACGATTTTAAACCCAATTTCATTTTGGAACCAAAAAGAGCCTCATATGGAGTTTGTTGAGTACCGCTGTGATATGATCGGTTTTTCATCATCTGTACATACTTCAGTTCTTCGGACCACTTAGTTGTTTTCTTCATTTCCATCAAAGAGGCAAGAATATGTTGCACATCTTGGTTTGCCCGCTCCACCGAACCCTGACTTTGCGAATGCCTTGGTTTGCCGTGAACTAGTTTTACTCCATCCCATAGGTTAGCTAATTCGGTAATCACTTTATTTACAAAATTCTCGGCCGTTGTCGCTGTGAAGGATAGATGGAGCACCAAAAATTGTGAAAATGTCCATAACATTACTTGCCACTTCTGCGGCCGTTTTTGTTTTCAGGAGTTTCAATATCACAAACATCGTCAGGTGGTCCTGATAGTTCAAAATATACTTATAGTCTCCGTCCGCCTGAGTTTGAAGATAAATGAGATTAATTTGACATCGCGAATTAAATTCAGAAGAAAGCAGAGGTTTAACAACTACTCTTTTTGGTTTTTGATTTCTTCTGACACGGTTCGCAGAGACTTAAATAGAGCATTATCATATCTACTGTTATATTCACATATTTTTCATTCACTTCTTTCATCACTTTATTACGACCGCCTTGGCCAACATTGATATGTGCTTCATGAATCACGTCAAAAATTTTTTCGTTTATCAAAAAATATTTTACTTCAGCATTATTTTCCTTGAGAGGTGCAATTAATTTCTGTTCTTTACCGATATTTATTACGTCATATCTTTGTAAACGACGATAATTGGAAACACTTTTGTTTCTTTCTTTCATTTTCGCATCACACACATTTTGTAACATATTCACATACTGTTCCTCCGAAAGGTACACGTTATTTTTATTTTTCGCCTCAATAATATTCATTGCACTCGCGTAAAATTTTTGTTTCATTTCGTGGTTTAAATTTTCTTCGCTCATTTTCAGTTTCAGAAAATTAATTATACTCGCGATACAAGTGTCGAAAGCAAACTAAACGAAATACTGAGGTTAACAATATAAATATTTTACTTTCATAATTGTTTCCTCTATAGAAATTTGACTCATATCTATAACTGAATTAAAAACAAAACAAACTATCTACATTTCCCAACTGGCGCTGGTCAATGTGCACATTTACCAATTTCCTTGGTAAATGTACAAATAATCTGTGTTAAATGCATGATTTTTCACTTTTACCAAATAGCCTGGTAAATGTGCACATTTACGGGACTTCGTACTTTTACCGTAACATATACATTATAATCTTAATCTCTTTCCTCAATTCTATAATGTCCCCAAGCAAGAGTATCATTGCTATCTGGTAATAAATATCGTTTGTCGTCCATTGGACTTAAAGCAACTTTAAGTTGTTTAACCGTTTCAACTTTATGAAGTCGTGATCGAATTACATGTTGAGTTCTTGCCTGAATTGCAAAATTTTGTAGACAGTATAATCATTGAAATTTATATATTTTTTTACAACTAACGATCTAACTCCCTTAGCTTTCTTTGTAAATTCCTGACCATTTACACGAATACTATACATCTTACTCCTTAAACCTTAAACCTTAAACAAATTAATACTCTATAATGGATAATGTACTTACGCTTAGAATTCAGTGTAGTTAAAAGCTTTGCTTGTTTTGATTCCGATGGTGGATTTGAGTGTTCTGAGCAGAATGGAAAATCACTGTAACTGTTGTGCAATTCTATTGGATAATCTAAATCAACTTCTAAAATATAGCCAAAAGGTGAATCATCTGATATATTAAAGTCAAAATTGTCGTCAACTTGAACCCACTCAAATCCACCATAAGGGAGTGGTTGTACCATACCCCAACCGTAAAGATTGTTTGCATCAAAATACATAATGTACTTGACCTCCTCATTTTTATTTAAATTTTCCATAAACGGATTATTAGCACAAGCATAGCGATTGCTACATTGACTTATACCTCCTCTCACACCACGTTCAAAAAACATTAGTTTGTCAATGTCTGTCAACAATTCTAACCTTACATTAGTATATTTCAACATCGCGTCCCAAGTTAATCCCGGTGTAGTATAGTAATGAGCAGGATCAAGTCTATAAGCTTGTAAGCACTGATCTCTAAAATTTTCAAAGATGTCGGGTAATAGTAAAACATCTGTTTTCATGTATAAATCAACATATTTACCGAGATTAGAACAATTAAATGTAGACCAAACACGTTGGGCAGGTAAGTAATCTTCATCAGAAACCGTACTATCATTCAATGTACTATAAAATTTTTCTTTAGGAGGTAAGTTTGTTTCTTCTAATTTTTGACGAGAATCCAAATATTCATACGGTAAAACCCCTTTACGTGTAAGTAATTCAATTCAGTAATTCAGAGGTGAAGTTTGATAATACTTGATTCACAATTTTATACTCGGATAGGTATGATGCCAATTTCTCCAAAGACGATGCCATGAATTTAAATGAGTCCATAAATCGAAATTTGATTTCCGTTTCCTTTACATATTTAGTAAAAGAAATATATTTTTCTTTATTCAGTGGTAAAAGTTCAATCTTTCCCGAAAATTCTAAACAAATGTCTCTAATTATAAAATGAGCATCATACCCACTTAAATTGTGAAATACAACTGGTACTACTCGTGAATCTTGATAATTTAAATTACATTTTTCATGAGCTGCACCTCGATATTTACCAGTTAAGTGGGAATGGTCTCGAACTTTCTTCTCACGTGGTAAAAATGGTCCTTCACAAATATGACATATTTGAGCACCAAAAAAGATTCAATCTCGTCATATGTCAATCTATCCATTAGAATAGGGTTTTTAAAGATATTGTCCAGAGTTCCAGCCAACTGTTTCAACTCCTGGGCGAGCCACTTGGCAGCATCTGTTCCATCTGGGCAGGAATTGTATTTGGATAACGAATCATCATAACTGCATTTTAAATAATATCCAATACTGAACATTTCATGACGTTGAATCACTTCAGTATTACAAGTGGTTTCTTCATCTTCGACAGGATTCAACAAACACTCACAGTCAGCGTAGATTACAAATGGAACTTTTTCTCTGTTTCCATAATTTTTAAACTGAATAAAATTCTGTCCTGGTTTGGGAAGGTTTATTTTACACTCATTTAACGTCTTGCACTCCTCATGTCTGGTTAATCTCTCCTCCGTGACAAAGTAATGAAGACATTGATCACAGATATGTTTCTTATGTCGATTGGATGAAACTTGAGAACTTACAAGCGCGGACAAGTTCTTAATCCATACATAATGGTAATTAATTGGTACAATAACATCAGAAGCAGCAGGAATAGTTGTGAGAGTTGATCCTCCTGCTGCATTATCACTGTCAACCTCGTTCTCATAATGACTTTCCACTCTTAGTAAATTAATATGTCTTGCCTTTTTTTCTAAAGTGAAGTGTAATGAGACTGTGTTGTACTTTTTGTTTATTAAGCGAAGTCCATACAGATTAATAGAGATGTCATTTTGTTTTTCAAATTTTGTTATATCTTTTAAGGAAACAGGAAACTCGATTCCGGTAAAGTTCAATTCATTTCCATATCTGCAGTAATGATTCATCAACTCTGGGTGTTGAACTATTGGGTGTAAAGCTGATAAAACAGCCCTCTTAAAACACATTGTATCCATATTTTTAACATTTATACATGCACGCTTTGCTTTAATTTCGATAGGTAAATCAATGTAGGACTCAACTCGTATTGCATTATATTTGTTAACGTTGACTTCCAATTTTGTAATTGAATGAAGTGTCCATTGTCATTCCTTCTCTTCAAACTCCTCCACTTGTTTTAATATAGGCTCTTTAACATTTTTGTTATACCATTCAATTAAAACAGTTGTTGGAAAAATTATATTACTTCTCACATTAAAATACTTGGGCTCAACTTTCTCTTCATCATTAATAATTTTTTTAAACTTTGTTGTAAGCACAGCATAAACTTTCAATGAATCATGCTTGTGTAAAACCTTTTTAATGAAATCTTCAAAAAGTACACATGCATCATCTAAAAAAGCACTTATATCTAAGTGCACCAGGTTGATAATTATATTTGTTTGAAGCCGACACTTGAAAGTATTTTCACAATCAGCCCAGCGAACACGATCATTTATACCATCCCTATTTACTTCAGGAATTGCACGTTGAATTCCAGCTCCTTGTATTAAAGAATTCTCAAACTTTGCGTGAAGACAAACAAATTCTTGTATCAGGTTTAAACATCTCTCCCTTTCTGAAGAAAAATGTAAATCATTTAGTACACTTCTTAATGTTTCTAGATTTTTTTCACAAACAGCAACCCATCTAGTCACAAATTGAGTCCTGTCGACATCGTTATTTAGTAATGGTAATAAACTCGATGCATCATCAGTAGATTTAAGAAGTATTTCACATTCATGCAGCAGCGATGCATTTATCCTTCTCTTTTTTCTAACTTCATTGCTCAACTCGGAAACTAATGTGCGCTTACCAGCCATTCTATAAATAATAAAATCAGTATGTGTAAGCATAAAATTTTTCATACTATTAAAAAAAAATAATGATTCTGCTGGGAGACGAACCCGAAAATCTCAGATTATAACTCAGGAACGTTACCCATTGCGCTACAGAACCTTGATATATATACTAATAATCTTACTTTAAAACTAAATTCAAAGTCGCTTCTAACTCTCCTTCAACAATGCTGCACGTCTCCACTGTTTTCCACAGATCTACCCCCACCCTCCTCCTCTACAGTACTCTCCTTCTACAATGCTGAACGCCTCCACTGCCTTCCGCGGTCACCCCCTCTTCTCCTCCACTGCTTGCTTCAACGATGCTGCACGCCTCGACTGCCCTGCGCTGCTATCCCCCTTTTCCTCTCCTCCAAGATATCTCTGCTTGCCGACTGCTTTTGCTGCTCCTTCCGAGTTGCTCCAAGAGAATGCTGATAATGTCACTACTGTGTCCAACCCTTCTTTATATACCAAATCTCACCGATACACACACTCACAGTGGCGCCATCTAGTGGCAGCCGGCGGAACTAGTATCTACATTACCGACTGTGAGTATATACCGACCGGCGGTAAGCGACAGTGGCGCCATCTAGCGGCAGCCTGAGGTACTAATTCTTGAGAGTGACATAGTTATACTACTGCAAAAGAGAAACTTGTTTAAGGGGAAAGACCAGTAAAATTTCAGCCTATCGAAATTAATGTTGTTAAGGGATGTCAATTTTTTTCTCGTATAAATAATTATAAAAATTATTATATGTTATTAAAATTTAGAAATAAAATGTTGGAACATTT